AAGGCTGAAGTATTAACACTATCTCCTATTCGTCTGAAATATCAACACTATCTCCTATAAATTTGAAATATTTACACCATCTCATATAAATCTGAAATATTAATATCATCTACTAAACGTCTGAAATGTTAACATTTTCTCAGATTGGCCTGTAGGTCTGAAATATAACACGTTGTTTTAAGCACTAAGAGTAACCTAACAAAAACATCATGTTAAGGCGCCGTTATTTCGCAGCAAAGGAAAAATGGTATCGTGTTCTCTTGCTTTCTCTGATAATGAATCAACATTTAGTGACTTCCTTACATTTGATTAACATTAAGTGACTTCCTGACATTTGATAAACAAACAAACAGTAAATGACTTCTTGACATTTGATAAACATTTAGTGACTTCCTGATATTGGATAAACTTTCAGTGTCTTCCTGATATTGGAAAAACATTTATTGACTTCATGACATTGGATAGACATTTAGTGACTTCCTGACATTGGATAAACATTTAGTGACTTCCTGATATTGGATAAACATTTAGTGACTTCTTGACATTTGATAAACATTTAGTGACTTCTTGACATTAGATAAACATTTAGTGACTTCCTGATATTGGATAAACTTTCAGTGACTTTTTGATATTGGATAGACATTTAGAGACTTCCTGACATTGGATTATGATTTAGTGACTTCCTGACATTGGATAAACATCTAGTGACGTACTTACATTGGATTAATATTTATTGACTTCCTGAAATTGCATAAACATTTAGTCACTTCTCGACTGTGGATTATCATTTAGTGACTTCCTGACATTGGATAAACATCTAGTGACGTACTTACATTGGATTAATATTTATTGACTTCCTGAAATTGCATAAACATTTAGTCACTTCTTGACAGTGGATAATCATTTAGTGACTTCCTGACATTGGATACAAATTTAGTGACTTACTGATGTTGGATAACATTCAAACTTGTGTGGAGTCTATATGAGGTTCAAACTGTTGATGTATTTCTTAACATCATTATCGTGCTAACCTGTTTATTATGACTGACACCGACGAAATATATCACGGAGGATAGAAAGCGTTCATTTCTATGTGTTCGAGTATAGTGGTAACTAAATGGCTAATTCAACATTCAGATGACAAGGGTTTTACATACATGTAGTGTTGAATCCTTTCCTTCTAAACATTATGTATAATTAACGATCACGAGAGAATAACTACATATTTCTCACGTATGTGAAGATGAACCTGCTACCATAAACCAATTTTAAAAAACCTTAGGACGACACGTCATGGAATACAGGTGACTGCCGAAGATTATACCGTGATTACAAGAGTGCATTGTATGTGTTTAATGGCAACCGTTCACCTGAAAATAGAATGTTGTTAATAATCGCCACGCAAAAGTATAAACACATTGAAAACCGTCTGCGACGTAAAACACCGGAAGGTAATATGTTAAACAGTTTGCGTAGGAATAACCAAAAAAAACCGTTTTATTGTAAATTCAAACGCGGAAAACAAAAACCGCACAGTGATATTTCAACAGAACAATTTGTTGAGCACTTTAAGAACCTGGCTTCTGTACAGATACCCCGTCCATTGAGTCTATAATTGAGGAGTTGGACGCTCCAATGACTGAACATGAAATGTATCGGGTCATAAACAGCCTTAAACGTGATACACCACCAGGTATGCATTGTGTACTTAGAACACTTCCTTGAAGTATGTCTAAAGACGTTTAAGGATGTCTTTGCACCGTTATTATGTAATTTGTATAATCGTTTTTCACAGTCTGATTATTTCCGTTTTGCATGGGTATTGCGGTACCTGTATTTAAGAAGGGTAATGTACACTATGTTAATAACTATCGAGGTATAACTCTTTTTAGTCATGTTGCTAAAAAAAATTAACACACGAATACTAAAGTGGAAAAATCAACAGGAGGTCATAACCGACGACCAATTTGGATTTAAACCGCGCACTCGTTAATATAGTCGTCCGCGCAATAACCTCGTGCTTTCTGATTCGTTAGAATTTATAATACTTTAACATCCAAAAAGGGCATTTCTGTTGTTTCGTTGATTATTACACATCCTTCGATACTTTTACATATGACAAGGTGTGGCTCAAATTGATACGTTGTGGTATAACGGGATTTTTTTTCTCCAAATATACTTGTAGTTTAATGCAAGGGGAATCATCGTATTCCCTTCTGTACTTCTGTTTTGTAAATGACATAGAAAATGAGTTTTTGAATAACAATTGTGAGCCATATGAGCTTAATATGCCTAGTGTGTACCTACTTGTGTACGCTGACGATACTGTGTTATTTGGCGAAAGTGTAGATGGTCTACAAAAAAATGTTGGACACACTAAGTAATTATACTGATAAATGGAATTAAAAACTAGATGTTTCAAAGACAAAAAAAAATTGTCTTCAGGAAGGGTGGCATTGTTAAGCCGTGTGAAAAATGGTTATATAATGATGTACTTATTGAAGTATTTAATTCCTTTAACTATTTTGGAATTTTGATTTATCATAATGGTTCAAGTTACAAACTAAGAAGAAACTCAGTGAACAAGGTAAAAAAACGTGTTTTGGATTATTTTTAAGTATTAAACACCTCTCTTTTAACGTTGAAACTCTGTTATCTATATTGACAGCATAATTAACTATGGTTGCGAAGTATGGGGCCACGATAAAGGTTATAAGATCGAAAAAGTTCAAACTGATTTTTTAAGGAAAATTCTGTCTGTAGGTAAGACTTCATCACATGCTACGGTATATTTTGAACTATGAAGATTACCTATGTATTTGACAAGAATAAGAAGAATTGTAAAATATCCGATGAAGCACCTCGGGTCAAATTATTGTATCCTAACCTCATGTTATAATGTATTATTTAATGACTATGTCGGGTAATGTCAATCTGGTAACAAATAGAAAAGAGCCTCCATGTACTTACGGTTTCGCTATGGTATGATCAGAACGTATTTAACGAAAACATGTTTATTTCTGAACTCAAGCAAAGAGTAAAAGAGTGTTACGTACAAGACACTTTAACGTATTTTACCAATTCCTCAACGTGTTATATCTATAAACATTTAGTAAATACTTTAAGACTTCAATATTATTTATGTAAACCTGTTACAGATAAATATAAGAAATAATTTGTAAATACAGGCTTTCATCACATAATCTAAATATTGAATCTGGAAGAATTTGGCCAGAAACCTTAGAATTTGTGCCAAATGTAATTGTTGATGTGTGGAAAACGAGTATCATTTTATTCCAGTTTGTGATTTTTATCCTGATATTAGATCAAAATATATTAAGCCATGTTTCTGGCGTCGCCCTTCTGTCTTTAAACTTGTACAACTTCTGTCTGTAAGGAATGAAAAAACAACTTGATATTCTTGGTAAATTTTCCCAATGCCAGGCGTGACAGCTACTAGTAATATTTTTGTGTTCATGTATTAATTGCACGATTTATGACACGGGGCGAAATTGTTTCACATTATTCAGCCTCCGTCATCTTGTATACAATTGATTAACTACATGTATGTATGTTATGACTCCTATCAGCTGTACTGCTTTTGGGATAAACTGAATTGAATTGAATACAAAACGCCTGTTCGCGAATATCGGCAAATTCTGCCTTATGATTGACTTATGGATGTGTATACGTTGAAAACCATATTTTTTTCTAATTATCAATTCAAGTACAACGACGAAATGTAATTACTACATGAATAATCCGGTGTTGTAGCGTAAACTTTGACGCTTTGTTCTACTGACGTCACGCTTGACAACAATGCTGCGAGCCAAGAAGACATTATCTGGGACCTGTTCGCTTTTGCGGAACAATCGGTTTGTCTTTTTTTTTTTAAATATAACACCTTAGGGTATCAATCCTGGCAGACCTGCGAAAGTGTATGCAGGCCTTGCAGGGCTTTGTCAAGGCTCGTCTGAAAGCAGCATCAGATTACTAGGTCAAACCATTTTTCATAAACGAACAACTCTGGTCCAACCGGTCCAACCGTTTGGATCGTGATAAACGAAAGCGACCCAGTTATTTCTTTAAGTCAATATCTAAATACCAAAGATGCAGTCGACCACGTACCCTTCTATTACTTCGTCTGCATCTGAACAGAAATATTCTGCAGCTTTGCATACAATAAATAGTAACGATTTCCGTCACAGTATGAAAGCTATCAGTTTTTCTAAAGTTGAAATAAATTAATATCTCACTGGCAAAAATGAAAAAATACATTTTCCCTTATGAAGGACTCTATTACATACATAACGTGACAGGCGGACGTTTTGCTGTGATGCATTGAGTAAAAAGACACATGAGGATTATTATAAAATTAACTTAATTTCTGACATAGAGCGTTTTTGTTTGTATTTTAACGGAGGGGACATAATTAATTCCGTTGCACGCGAATGATAATGTTGCACGGCTAAAATATAACCGCCTAGCATTGATGACAGGAAATTGTACGTTAAAATTCTGACAGTTTTATTTGCTTTGGAATCTGCATTCATTACTAGCGGTAAAATATGGAGTGTTTCAGTGTTTCTAAAACTACACTTATATTTGAAAACCAATATCATAGCGTTTTGTATTTTTCAGTAGTGAAACATAGCCAAAAATCGCCTGGAACCATAATCATTTAGAAAATAGAAAAATATGCATCTAAAGGGCAACAACGAAAATAAGTAGCATACCCAATCAAACAACGAAATATTCCCATACACATACTTTTCTGACAAAGATCGCACTTATATCACAACTTGTATAGGGATCAGTTGCACTTTATAATTTTGGACAGACAATTTACATAAAAGATATCATTGGTATATCCTTTGAATTTCACCATATCTGAAAAAATACTATTTCAAGAAATAAGTATACGCTAATTTACCATTGTACTAGTGTGTCGATCTTGGCAGACAGTGGTATCACTACATTTGCAGTAAGGTCACACTTACCATAAATGGTGGTTATGAGGATCGGTAGCCACTTAGGACCAAAGCGTACAGTCGTCCCCATTGTAGTGAGGTTTGGGGACCAGAATTCCCGTATACACTGTCTCTAGCGTTACCTTAGCCCCATGGTATATACACGAGTGTCGGCAGCATGACAACTAATGGCACTTATAATACATAACCGGCACATTTTAAGCATGCGCATAAACTGATCGATTTGTTCCAGCGGATGAACAACAGCGACGGTATACATGAATTCACCTTAATCAGTACGTCATATCACAGGTGAAGAATTAGTAAGTAGGAAATCATTTTGTCATATCACAGGTGAAGAATTTGTTCATTTACCGTTAGTAAGTAGGAAATCACTCTGTCATATCACAGGTGAAGAATTTGTTCACTTACCGTTAGTAAGTAGGAAATCACTTTGTCATATCACAGGTGAAGAATTTGTTCACTTACCGTTAGTAAGTAGGAAATCACTTTGTCATATCACACGTGAAGAATAACGTAGTGTATTAAAGGGGCATCACGCTGAAGTAACTTTTTTTTTTGTCTTTTTTTCCAAATACTACATAAACATATCAAGTGAGACTCCTTATGGAAAATGCCGATCGGATTTGGCTGAAATAGATTCATAAAAATGATTAAATCTAAGATAATCATCGGTATTTCTACCTGTCTGACCAACGTTTTGTTCAGGGATTTCCCTCTACTAGCGCATGCGCATAGCACACCATTTCTTTGTAAACAAAATGACTGGCCGTGTGAAGTAAGCCAAAGAAAAGTGTTGTACCGTGTCAGCTACGAAGCGAATAGTTGCCAAATGGTCAAAAGATAGCGCAAGGGGTACGTTACGGAATCATTATTGCCAGTGGGAAGTATTCAAAGCAGAAAATAACTGCCCTAGCAGTCAGTACGGTGCATGTTTTCTTCCGGATAGCGGCCGGTTAAGCTGAAATAAAATCGACAGAAATGCTAGCGCTGTTTATGTTATGAATAAATATCTAAAACTATTAACCTCGCTAGTATCATTGTGTGAGTTTGAACACAGATGAACTTAGTTTAATATGTTAATGGGCATGTATCGGAGAGAGTTTACTTTGTGTTTTTTTTAATTATACAGTGGTTTATGCAAACGAAAGGGATAAGTGACTGGTTAGTTTGATTTTGCCATGAGGCCCCCCAAGGGATAACTGCTGTGATGGCCACGGCGTATTCTGTTCTCTGATCCTCTGTCGGTGCTCGGGGTCAAATGAGATACGTGCGCTATTAGATTTACATAATTTATAATATTACCGGGATCAGTAAAATGGTATGATTTAATTATATTGCTGAATTAAACGATTGTTTTTTGTTTTGACATGCAAGTTTTAAATTAGTACTAATATAATACCCGGCCTGCCCTGGCGCGACGACGCAATATATAAAAAAAAAATCGCTCTTCGTCAGAAAGCTACGTTATCGCAGCTAGATTAAAAATGTCAAAATGACGGACCAGGATGAATAACTGAGGAAGGAGAACCTACTTCTAGTAAATAGGATCGCATAACACTTTTTTTTTAAATCGTAATTTTTCAACAGTTCATGTTTTCATATGATGTTGACTTAGAATGTATGATCATGTAACAACCTTTTCTCTATAAAGAATAAATTTTCGACTTCAGATAGAATCGGAATACGTATTGAAAACAGGGGAAAAAATATTTGATTACGTTATAAAAATGGCGCGTGCTGCCGATAACTACGGCTTCTGTTTCGGACCAAAGGAACTGATTAAAGAAAAGTTGTCTCAGCATAAAAAGGTCCATTTAAAAGTATGCTTTAATCTCTGTAAAGTATTGAAAAAATATAATTATCAAGTATCTCAACACGTTCCTTATTGACACATATTCTACATGTACACGTAGTGGTTTTGCCATACAGTTTATTGTGTGTGATGGTTAATATGACTTCCTAAATGTTAGCGTTTGGAGACAGTGAAAGTGGGAAAGAGAGTATACATAGATTTATATTCATGGTCTAGAAAAAAAATGGCCAAAGACATTGAGTTGTTTAATGTAATAAATAAATTCACAAACGTTTCCTTTTTATATTCGCGTGTAGTTTGTCATTGCATATATGCACTTTATGTAAACATTTGAAAAGGGATATTCGTCTCGTGAATATTCCTTTTTACAGAAAGGTTTGTCCCATTGTTGAGGGAGTGTTTAGCCCCGTACCACCTGTACCGGTCACGGGAGAAGGCTGTGATAAATTGTAAAAACTTGTGCCCCATCCTTTGTTTAATTTTATTGGCAACAAATTTATGTTAAAAGCTAAATAAATTTAAATTCTTAATATTGGCAAGTGTGCAATTAACTTCTGATGATGAATAATTACTGTTCAATAAGTTTGAATACGGAATTAGAAATCATATAACTTGGTTTCATAGTGCGGTAAGAAGTTGCAGTTGCCTGACGGCCCCTCTCTGAGGGCCCCTTTGTAAACCGTTTCATCTCGCTCGCACCACTTGTGTTTGCTGCCTAATCAGGTGACGTTATCGGCGCTATTTTTAGCCGGGCTTTCCCAAGCAATTCAATTGGTCAAACACGACATTTGGAACGGACTATGAATATGGGGATAGCGAGGTAACATAAGTGGAAGTGCATACAATACATACATTCATTAAAAAAAAAACGCCTTTTCACGTGATGTCCCTTTAAGAGATCTGGTTTTAATTAGATTGGGGTTGTTTTAGGTAATTTACAGATGAAAAGTGTCTTGTTTCCTCGATAGTTTCCTGTCTATTATATATTTTGAGTTGAAATTTACAAATTTACTCATTTGAGTACATTTACATAAAATGCATATTCATCACAAACTTTCCTTTTGTTTAATACTGAGTGATGACTTACGGACACAACTCAAACTTGGCAAATTTCAAATATCTCTCAATCTTAAGTGAATTAAAAAGTGCATGACATCCTTTATATGCTATAAGTATAAGACATTGATAGTTAATACTGTATACTATATATATCATATGATATTTCCTCAACACCTGTGGCTGAAGTGAGTTCCAGGTACTGATTTGTTTTTTTACTTATCAAAGTTTATTTACAAATAAAAAAAAGGCATTTGCCACCACAACTACTGCAAAATGATTAATTAAATATATGAGGTTTGATTTGCTGGTAATTTTAAGTCTCCTAGCCTCAAGGAAACAGATTACAGTTAATCAATTTCATTGTTTTAACCATTGTTCTGCCTATTTCCAATAATAAGGGCCGATTGTACATAAAAGGCATTTTGGGATAAGCATGCAACTTAGGTTATATCACAGAATTATCTAAGTCCGTGGTTATATATATTAGTTATATGATGATATCTAAATTGTGAAAGTTTCATACCTATCCCACAATGCCCTTTTACTTAAAAAACATTTGCTCTTGTGTTTTGGAGTGAGACTAAAGTGCATCTCCTTGCCTAACACCAAATATGTCCTTACAATACCAGTATTTATGAAGGTATGTAGATTAAACGGACTCCGTAGAGTATCTATAGTAGTCAGAGGTGCGTATGACATACTAGGCTGACCAAAAGCCAGATGTTTCATGCTTTGAATACGTTAAGAGAGACTAAGTCGTATACACTAGTATTGTAAGGAAATATTTGGTGCAAGAATGTTACTACGCCTCAAGATATATTACTTTACCGCAAGTTCAGTACTCGTATGACCAGCGTGAGGTATTGAATTACTAACTCCGTGGTCAATCGTTACCAGAATAAACATGGCATATCTATAGTTGACGTGACTGAAACATGCCGTCAATACACATCCTAATTACAATGAAAACAAGGAGAGCGAGACGTTCTAATCGACTCCTGTGCATTATTGACTTACCAGGATCGATACTAAAGTCATAATAAAAGCAAAGCTACTCCTACTTCGCTAACGGGAAACAATAAGAAATGTCTTTATAAACAAGCTAATCAAAAAGGCTTTATATTGTTGGCACTATGGGATTTACAAAACAGTTTTAAAAAAGTAGAGTTATTCATTAGAAAACACCCATTTGATTATTCGCCAAAATATACAGTTTTCCCTGAAAGTCTAGTATTATGATAAGATGTGTCAGAGAGCTACGTGGCCCTTAGCCTTTTGTTAACAATACATCAAAGTTATTTGAAATGCAGATCACTTAGCTAGGAGGACGCCTAGAGACTTTGATTCACATTGGAACTTATATAGGACCTTGTGTAAAAGGACACTGGTCTCTAAATATGAAAAATATCAATACTGTGCCAAGTCAAAACATAGAGAACTCTAGGGTCCAATCTCGTGACGTCAGAAGTCCGGTGCCATATAACCCGATGTTAACCTCGTGGGCGGTTCATAGAAGAAGACACGTTGTTACGGCAAATCGAGCCGAGGTTAGAAAACGTGTCGGTGTGAGAACACCTGTCGTAACACACGTTTCATATTTGATCATTATTGAAAGGGGAACACATCGTGAACCATGCCTCTGAACTTTGATTATTTTCACAATGTAAATTCCAATATTGTGTTTAGAGTGAATATAGGCTCCCATCTCGTGCCATCAGATGTCCGTTGCATATATACGAAGCGAACACTTGGCTAGCGAAGATGATATAATGAGACGTTTACTCAAAGGCGGTTTATAGTAGTAAACACGTGCCAAAGTTTATCAACATTGAAAGGGGGGACAACAACATGAATCTTTCGCGAGTAACGGCTCTCCAATTGAAAAAAATACAACAAAAGACCAGGGAAACATATGTTCACATATCATCGATACCAGGGGTTACGTTCACTTACGATCTCTACGACGTGCAGAGAGCATAAGTAAGCATAACCCCTGGAGTATCGAGGATGATGTACACAAAGGTGTAAATTATGTACGAGTTGGCAATATCAATTTGACGTCGATTCTTAGCTGTTATACATGTACAAAAAAGCGAATCATACTGACAAATCGATTCGGCTACGCTCTGTTTATGACATGGTCATTGATGTGCGAGAGTCTATGAGTCCCCTCATCTCGATTCAGAACTTGTAAGATGCGACGTGTCAAGATGGCTTCCTTTACCTGCCGCTACAGTACGTTTGAGTTATGCCAGTCAAAAATACGAGTTTGTTTT